ATTCCTTAAAGCTAATTAGGGCAAAAAAAAAGGGGGGGGCTATATTCCATAGCTTAAGGTGTTTGAAGCTTCTTCCATGACCAAGAATCCACATTTTGTCCTTCTAGAAAAACTCCTGTTTTCCCTTTCTTGATTCAGCTCAGAACAGATCAGACTATTCTATCCCTTTTAAATGCTCTCCAAAATTCCCAGATACATGCTTAAGGTTTTGTTATGATTTAACATTTTAATGCACATTACATTTTTGGGGAGGAATTTCTTGTGCTGTATCTTTTACATAATTTCTACTTGATAATAAGGCTTTGAATTAAAAACAGGTCACTTAAACACAATCAATGTGGCCCACAAAATCAGTTTTATATTTTTTCACTGCAGAAAAGAAACTAGGTTTGCTGCATTTCAAGAGGCCTCAAAAGAAATTTATAGAAAGTTTTTTTAATAATTTAAATAACTATCTTTTTTAAATGCCAAATGTGTTGATTAAATATTATGACTAATCTTACTATCACAAAATATGCTTACCTACTTTTAATAGGGAGGATGTTAATGTTTTTAAACTTAGGTAAAAGAAATCTTTATTTTATTTTCTGGTAGGAATCAAACTCAGGACCTTGCGCTTGCCAGGCAGGCACAGCACTGCTGAGCTAAATCCCCAGCTCTGAAAGAAATCTTTAAATACTACTTTGTAAAGAACAATAGTTTATACCAGCCTTGTTCTCACCTGTCTGTGCATGGTCTGAATGCATGGATGACTGATCCATTGGCATCATAGGTTCCTACAAACATTTCCAAAGACACAGCAACTTAGTAGATTCTACTTAGATTACAATACTGCAGTAAATCCATGAATACTATTTCAATGACATGGAACATTTTAAAAATCTCTAGAATATGAGTTCTTTGCTAATGCCCAGAGACACACTTCAGGGTATTTATAAATCCCTTAAAATTATATGCAATATTTTACAGGTTTCCCATTTTCCTGAATATTTTCAAAGATGTCAGCGCCCCAAAAAACGTAAGGAATTCTTCCTAGAAATTGATGTAACCAACTAGCTGCCAATAATCTCAGCAACAACGCTAATTCAAACCAAAATTGTTGGAGCCAGGGATATGGCTCAGTGATAGAGCACTTGCCTACTATGTACAAACCTCTGGGTTTGATTCCCAGCACTGCAAACAAAACAAAACAAGACCCTATAATTGTTAGTAATTCACTAAGCTTAAATCCAAGTTTAATGAATATCAGCAAGAAGAAATAAACTTAAAGAGCATTAGATATAGTTACCATCTTAAGACGGCCTTAATGGTAGGCTCACAAATAAGCTTGCGGATTATTAAATAGATTCAACCCCCATCCTAACATCAGCACAATCATCACTCTGCCCCTCTTTCTTTCTATATGTGTGAATGTGCAACTCATTGTATCACCTAAGAATACTCACGTTATCAACAGTAACCTAAATAAACTTATAATTTCTAGCTTCCTGGTTTTCTTAAAACTGGAACTTTTTTTCCTTCACTAAACTATGAACTAGCTAAATAATCCTAATACCAAAGAACCAACTTTGACAATAATCTACTTTCACAAATGTCCAAAAACAGTCTTAGAAAGATGTATTTGATATTTTTAAAATTGCATATCCTTTAACCTAGTAACTCTACCTTCTGGATTCTTCAGGAAATAAGATTTAGATACCAAGAAGTTTATTATGATTTTCTTTGTAGAAAAAAACTCCTCAAATGTCAATCACAAGGAACAGGATATCATGGTAAAGACATATAACAAACTATTATGTTATAATTGATGGTGAGAGATATAGATATAAAAAGACCAATTACATTGGTCTGTAGGAAAAATGAGTTAGAAAACAGGATGCATCTGACCTCACTTTTGTTAAAAAGTACATAAAAGAAAAACACCAATATGTGCTTTCTGGTGGGATAAAAATTCTTCTACAAAAAAATTATAAGTGGGGGTAGAAGGTGGGGGAGAAAAGAGGAACCAGTAAATTTTAAAAATATTTAAGATATCAATCCATTACAATTTGAAATCCAACTCATCATGAAAACTAAACCAAAATTATAACATTTATGAGATATGTGAAACTTTGAACGCTATCTGGATGGATATTTGATGTCATAAATTTGGATTTTTTTGGTACCAGAGATCAAACTCAGGACCTTGTGCTTGCAAGACAGGGGGAGCACTACTGAGCTAAGTTCCTGGCCTGAATAAATTTGTTTTTAAAGTTGTATTTTACAAGGGTCCCTATCTTTTAGAGGTATATGCTGAATTATATTTTGAAATAGTATTGCGTGAGGAGAGAATAAGTTGGTTGGAGAATAGATGAAAATAAGACTGATCATGAGTTTTAAGTACTTGGAACATTTACTCAGCTCATTATACTGTTCCACCTATTATCATATATGTTTACATTTTTTCCTATACAAAAATTAGAAATGTTCATATATACATAAATTTGCACAGGAAAAGTTCTGGAAGAATAAAGAGCAAATGACAGTACCTTTACATGCCTTAATTTTTTTCTTTATTCATCTATATTCCTTATAGCATGCTTTAAAATTACATACTTAAAATACAAAGTGCAAATCAAAATTTAAAATGCTTCTCTGCCCAGTCAACTCACACTTTAAATACTAACATAACAATTCTGACTCTTCTTACCTGCTTAGGATAGAGGCTAGCATAATAGGAGTGATAAACTAATGACTGAGTTTAGCTTAAAGAAGTAGGAAAAAAAACCCTTAAATGATTCTCCTTGTATCTTCATAATTTAGACCAGAGGATTTTATAGCAGGTCAAATAAAGTAGTTAACTATCTCCTACAAACAAATATCATATAGTTATTTCAAAAGTTCTAAAGTTCACAATATGTTAAGTGGCATGTAAAGTATTCCTACCCATACTCTTTAACTGTATTTTGAGATGTAGTTTCTTACCATCTGCCTATTTTAACCTTGTTTTAAGTATGCTATATATTTTTAAAAAGCATGCTACACTAAAAACAAACAAAAAGACAACTCTGTCTTACCGGTGGCAAAGAATGTCGCCCACATTCAATTGTGACAAGTTTGTGGCACTTCTTATGAACCAAGAGTTTACAGTTGATACACTTATATCCCTGGCGTCCAAGTCCCCATATTCGGTCTGTGCAGATGGCACAATGAGCACGCTGAAAAAAGTAATTCAAGAATATTTTATTAAAAAAAAAATCACTATCATGTCCCAACAATTTGTTCATAAAATACTGAAAATAACTGGCTTTCTTCTCCAACTCAGTTCCTTCATCCTACTGTCAATTGCCAGCCCACGAGGGAAAAAAACCCCAAACTTCCTCATACGTGATTTTTTGAAAGCTATGAAGCCCAGTGGGAAGAAGAGAAAAGCTTGTTTTAAAGACACAGCAGCCGGGCATGCCTGTAATCCCAGCTCTCGGGAGTCTGAGGCAGGAGGATCGTTGTAAGTTTGAGGACAGCCTGAGCTACACAGTGAGACCCTCTCTCTCAAAATAAATAAATAAATAAATAAATAAATAAATAAATAAATAAATGTCAGCAAAATTTGTAATTATGTTGTTTTCTGTTATTAAGTTGAAGTTCAAGAAATTTCCATCTTCACATAATTAAGTTCACAGGAATGAAAACAGAAAAGATGAATTAAACTTGAAAAAGTACTACCTTCCATAGTGTTTAAAGATTAAACCAAAACTCTGCTTTCTTAGGAGCAATACCAAAGGTGACTTTCATTTTTCAGTCTTGTTTAAATTTTAGAGCTACTAAGAGTTTGAGATCATGTCTTTTTATTTCATTTTATTTATTTGTTTATATTAATGAATTTAGGACATGACATTAACTTTAGAATGGAAGTGAAGTCCATAAATTTGTAGATAACAAAAGAAGTTAAAAGAATAGAGTCCTGGAGATAGACTGGCTGCTTTCAAACCTCAGCTCTGCTACTTACTAAGTTGTGTATCTTGGACAAGTTACTTAACTGCCCTCCCCTTCATTTTTCTCAACTATAAAATGAAAATATATAAGGGAGTTGTGAAGATTAAATGAGTCAATATATGTAAGCATTTAGAAAACTGCCTGATACATAGTAAAAGCTAGGTGTTTGGTATTATTATTTTCTAAACAGGGAAAAGTAAATAACAACATATTAGTTTGCAATATAAACCCTGCTGGATTTCCTGGCTGCTTTGAATGATATTTAAAACTTTTTTAACGTTCAGTTTTTGGTTTTGTTTTGTTTTGAGACAGGGTCTTGCTGTATAGTTTAGACTGGCCTTGAACTCACTGTGAAAAGCCAAGCTGGCCTAAAACTCATGATCCCCCTGGCTTATTAGCCTCCCAAGTGCTAAGATTACAGGTGTGTGCCACTACATGCTCAACTAAAAATTGAGTTTTCTTATAGCTAGCTAACTATACAATTAATCATCCAATCTGGTTCATATTTAAGAATAAATGGGGTTGGGGATGTAACTAAGAGATAGAGCACTTGCCTAGCATGTGCAAGGCCTTAAGCTAGATCCTAGCCTTTAAAAAAACAAAACAAGCAAGCTGTTCTAGGAAAATCTGGACTGTAAGGCTTTGTATCTTTAAAAGGTATAAAGAAGATTTAATAACAAAGTCACCTTCCTCTCCTAACAGAAAGCAAAAAACAAACAAAAAGGTATCTTATATTATCATCATTCAACAAACTACATTTACCCGGTTGAAACGTTTGGCTTGAAAAGTATGGCCATTTGCACAATAAAGCTTTCTCCAGCGGCGTGCACCTCTGCGGTAGATAGATTCTGAAGAGAGATTAAAAATTTGTTTAAAAAAGAAAGAAAGAAAGGAAAAAGAGCAAATGTAAGTGATTTTATAATTAAGTCTCATTCTTTTCATAATAATCATTGTGAGGAAAAAATTCTGATAAAAACCCAAAATAAATAGATGTCTGTATAACTAGTACTGGTTTTCTTTGTAAACAATTTTCCCCAAACTTTTTTAATTTGAAAAAAATATTAAGCCCACAAAAAAGATGAAATACCACCTGGAATGTCTCCCTGGCTTTATTAAATATTAATGTTTTACCATATTTGCTTTCCTCACTACAAAAATATACATGTATTTTTTTCCAGAATCATTTGGAAGTAAAAATGCAGATATCAGGAAAATTTCCAAAATCAAAGCCACATGATTAAAATTAACTTAACTTCCCTTTCATATATACAATGGATAATTATGTAAATTGGAACTATCTGAATTTCATCTGGCCAAAGTAGATTAAGTAGTCACTAATATATTTGAAATCAGACTGGAGCCAGGCGTGGTGGCACATGCCTGTACTACCAGCACTGGGGAGGCTGAGGCAGAAGGATCATCACAAGTTCCAGGCCAGCCTGGGCTACATAGTGAGTTCAAGGCCAGCCTGGACTACATAGCAAGACTGTCTCAAACAAACAAACAAACAAACAAAACAAAACAAACAAAAAAGAAGTTAGAATAAAAAAATGAAAAAAAAAATCAAATAAATTAAAAGTTCTATAACTGATTTTTTTCCCCCACTTCTGTCATTCCATAACATTTTTTTAAAAAGACACTACTGGGGATTAAGCCCAGGAAGCACTGAGCTATATCATGTGCCTATATTTATTTTGAGACAGAGTCTACTAAATTGCCCTAGCTGGCCTAGAATTCGCTATTTTCTTTTTTGGTACTGGAGATTGAACTCAGGACCTTGCAGTGCCACTGAGCTAAATCCCCTGCCCTACCTGGCCCTGAATTTGCTATCTTCTTGCCTCAGCCTACTCAGCAACTGGGAGGTGCTAGGATTGTATTGCGTCAGTCACCATGCTTGGTGCATAACACTTTTCAAAGGTATAAAGTATATAAATACTTACTATCTTCCCCTGGACAAGGCATTCCAGGACGTTCTGGTACACAAGGGAATACTAAAAATAAAATACAGCATTTTTAGAACATACTATAAAGAATTAAAAATTGACCCTTAAAAAAACTGAATCTCTCTTTACTTGAAACAAGATAATTAGCATATGGTTAGCATTATTTGTTAAAGGGATTTATTTTAACAAGGATATAGAAATTTTTATGACAACAAATATGTCTATAAAAAATCTATTAGAAACTCAAATTACTAATTCTAGTCCTTTGTTATTTATCATTAATTATTTTTCTGCCTTTAAAGAAATTATTAACTACTATTTACGTAAATATTTGTTGTACTGACAATTTTGCTATAATGAAAAATTACAATTACAAAAATATATACAATTATGAACATTATGAACATTAGAGCTTTCAGAAGATGTATACTAAATTCAGGAATAAATTAACACCAGAAACTGTACCAAAAATCCAAATATATAAGTTTATATTAGGAGCTATAAATTTATAAACATACAAAATCACCCATTTTTATAATGAGAATAAAAGGTAACAGCACAGTTATGAATAACTAGTTAATCATTTATAGTCTGTAATGTTCTAAAGGACAATTAATAAAGAACAGAGTACAGGAAGCAGTTTTTAATATTATGTATATTTAAAACCTGAAATATAAATTAACTTCTGAAAATAGATGTTGGATATAGTATGAAAAGCAATAAAACCTAAGAATGCTTAACACCATTGATAAATCATTTTTTAAAGATTTGTTGTAATTTTATACTAGCAAAAGGTCATGAAAAAAATAGATGACTTCTAAAGCTCTATTAAGATCTCAACAAACTATCTTAAATTTGCTGGGAGATCACACTTTACTATCTGAGAAGGCACATACAGATAACAAATTCCTTAAGACTATAAGAAGCAAATTGATTTTACCTTCTCCAGCATTTAAGAAACTACTAAATAAGCATGTTAACATAAAGATAAGACACAGAGGTAAAGAAAATGACATAATTTTCTTTTAAAATGGTCAATAAAAGATTATTTTAAAAATATTCACAGCCCCAGAAGAGTACAAAATGATTGCTTCTTTACCATGAATTAAGAGTTCAGAATCCTTGTTTAGCTCATAAAGCCTAAAGGCTTCTTCTAACTCCAACTGAGATGATACAGTACACGGGTCTCCTAAAAATTACAAAAAGTTCAATTATTTCAATCTCTAAGTGTGATGATTAATAAGCAAATTCCACACTATAAAATTTGGGGAAATATTTGACAAGGACAGATATAATTTAGACAATTCAAGTCTCTGAAGCAGATGATATAGCTTCCATTTCTATTTGTACAAAATATTACACAAAGTTCACAAAACCAAATTTAGTACATATAAACCATTTTATTAGTAAAACGTATATGTAAAACATAGCAAAAAGTTATTCAGCCATATTTTAAACCGCCACTGCTCTGTGACTGAGAGGTATGGCTAAGAGTAGGATTTCTGTTACATTTTTCGTTAAAAGAGGAAGTGGAAGTAGTTGCACTGCCACACCATGGTTGCTCAGAAATGGATGTAATCATTTTGTCTAATTTTTTCTTTTATATGAGAGCCTGCTCAAAGGTGTCCCCAAGGAAAAAAAAAAGACTTAACGTACTCTACATTAAAGAATGGTTCTTGGGCCAGGGATTTAGCTCAGTGGTTCCAGCGCCTGCCTCGCAAGCGCAAGGTCCCGAGTTCGATCCACCGTACCAAAAAAAAAAAAAAAAGAACAGTTCTGGTTAAGATGCTTCTAAACATAAATACAGAGTTGTAGTAAACATACATACAGAGAAAGTAAGAAACATTTTCCTTAGTCAACCAGCCAAAGAAATGAGTCATGCCTGGCATCAAGAGGTGTCTCAAAGACAATGACATTCACAAAGAACAAGTCATTGCAGCATAGCTGGGCCCTGAGCTGGCTCCCACTATGCCATTCTTTAGCCCATTCCTTTGGTTATGTGAACATTATGACACACTAGATACCACCAACCCTGTCAAAACCTCAGTCATTCTCAGCAGAACTAAGAGAAGAATCTGTGAGAAGAATTCAATTATATCCTTTCCCCCAATCTAAAAGACAAGAGTGCTTCTATTATTTTCTCCAACTTGGCTCCCAAATCCCTGCTTCCTTTTATTTTCTCTGGGCATAATTTCATTAGTCCTCCTTGGTTCCCATTCTCCTTCCTTCCACCAGCTCTTCTCAGGCAAGGGCAAGTTTGAGTCTCCATCTCAAAAATCATTTGCGCTGCCTTACCACCACTCCCAGCGAAGAGGAGGCTTGCGGGCCGCCTCAACATCGTTCCCAGCGCAGAGGTGGTTCCCAGACCGCGGTAGCACCACTCCCACTGCAGAGGAGGTGAGCCACATGAGCGCCAGCAACACATACACACACACACAGCCCAATGCACCATCAAAATGAGAAGAAATGTAAACAATTCTCAAAACCAGACTTCCAGATCACCTACAGCAAGCCCACAGGGAAACAAGATGGAACACTCTTGATATTCAACCACCTGGACTCCCTGAATTGACAATGAAACAGGATCTGGAAAAAATGAAATCAGAAATAATTTCTCAGATAACAGCACAGACTGTGCTAGTAGTGCAAGACATGATTATTAAATCTAGAGAGGAGCTGAGGAACATGACGGAATCACAACATAGGAAACAAATGGAATCCATAAAACAGATACAAACAGATTTCCAGGAGATTAAAAACTCCATTCAAAGTCTACATAGCAGAATGAGCCAATATGAGGACCGAATTTCAGATACAGAAGATGAGATTGCAATTAGTGACCAGGAAAAGAAAAGTTCCTTTAAAATTATAAGAGACTGCAAGAAATCAATCCAGCAGCTGCTAGACGATGCAAAGAAGAATAACAAAAGACTGATTGGCGTCAATGAAGAAACAGGAGACAGTGCAGATGACATAAAAAAACTGTTCACAGAAGTGATGGCAGAAAACTTCCCAAGCAAGAGAAAAGAATTTGACATATAGATAAGTGAGGCATACAGGACTCCAACTAGCCTTGATGAAAAAAAAAAATCTACACATAGGCATATAATTATTAAGATTCCAGAAACCCACCAGAAGAACAAAGTTCTACAAGCAGTTAGAGAAAAGAAATCAATCACATACAAAGGAAAGCCCATCAGAATCACAGCAGACTTCTCAATGCAAACCCTCAAGGCAGCAAGAAGAGCTTGGAGTGATGTATTCCAAGCCATTAAAAAAAACAGCCTCCAACCCAGCTGATGTACCCTGAAAAACTATCTTTCAAAATTGATGGAGAAATAAAGATACTTTCATGACGAAGAGCACCTTAGGAATTTCATGAATACCAAAAGAGCACTCCAAAAAATTTTAGACAATATCCTAGGAAAAGACAATGAGGATCACAAACCCAGGAAGCATGCACAATAAATAAATCTAGCGCGACAAGAAATTAAATGCGAAGGGGGAGAATCCAACAAAAAGAAAAAGTCATGACAATAATAAGTCAATATGTATCAGTTATAACCACCAATGTTAATGATCTCAATTCACCAATCAAAAGAAAGAGACTGGAAAAATGGGTCAAGAAGCAAGATCCAACAATATGCTGCACGTAAGAAACACACTTAATTCAAAAAGAAACTCAGAGACTGAAAGTTAAAGGGTGGAAAACAATACTGCATGCAACAAGAACCAGAAAAAAAGCAGGAGTAGCTATCCTCTTTGCAGATCACGTGGATTTCAAACCAACACTGATTAAGAGAGA